TAATTTCAAGAACTTAGAACATCAAGTGAAAATTGCTCTAAGAGACAACAACTACAAGTGCGTAAAAGAAAAGCTTCCTCTAAGAGACTCTATAAGAACTTAGCTTTTTTAGAGGCTAAGAACATATTTATAGCCCCTTAAAACAGTACACAGGTCAAACCGGATCACCCGGCGAAAGTCAACTGATGAGCAGAAAAAGTCAACAAAACGTAAAAAGGATCGGTCACTCCTACATTGGAGAAGTGATCGATATCATGCGCCATTCCAGTTCAGTCAGTGCGGTCTAGGTAGTGGTCTTGTTCGTCGTTCGGTGCAGATACTCCTCTGCTTCCTCCTTAAGCTTCTAAACCCATTTTTTCCACCAGCATATATTCCTCAACACTCCTCTTCAATCCTCAAGTCTCTTGATAGCCAGATAACTCAATATTAGCTCATATACCACCTGAAAAAAGGTAAAAATAGAAGAATATGTACAAAACACTAATCTAGGACCCTAAGATGCAAATCTAAGCTAAATTAAGCTAAAAGAGTCCTAAGTGATGCATAATGACGCTGAGTGAGGGATAAAAAATATGCAAGTATATACATAGGAAGTGTAAAGATATGAATATATCACTACTTTGCTCCAAATGTCACATTCATCCAATTTTTTGTGAAACCATCCAATTTGGCTTGACTATTGAGAATTCTAGTTTGCTTTAACAAGTACGAATATATCATTTTCCTCAAGAGTAAAGTATCAATTAACCATATCTTTGAACATATGAACTTCCGAATAAATACAAACTTATCATAATTAAGAGAGTCGTTTAACGTCTGCTAGTGTTTCTAAAAAATTTCAGCTAAAATTAACTAGTGCGCTGTGATAATGTTTTCAATATATTTTAATATTTGGTTACTATTTTGCTCCATTTTATAGATGATAACCTAGGTTAAACGCACTATATTAATATTTTTTCCAACTAAATATATGAAGTTTACCCTTTTGAAGTATTTTTATGAATATTATAAATTTGGACATTTTGTAAGAAATTTTCTTCAAGAACTGTTATTACAATATTTATCATATATTTCATTTAATATGTGTTGTTTAAGATAACCACTAATTTTTTACGAAATAACATCAAAACTAAATAAAACAATAACTTTAATATTGTTTCATTATTTGATTTTATATTACCTCTAGTCACGACAAAAAAAAAGTAAAATTAACACGCATCAAACATGCACATTAGACACGACATTTAATGTTATGGTATTGCTGACTGGTTTAAGAAGCTAAGAGAACAAAGTCTAGGACAGAAACACTAAGCCAGACAGAGCTGGAGCAAAGCTGGAACAGAGCTGAAGCATAACTAAAACAGAGTTGAAACTGATGTTGAAGCAAACGCTAAAGCAGTTATTAACACGATTGACTGTGGGGCTTAATGCTCATGGGCTTGAGGACCACGTGACTTGGAGAGTCATTAGGATCTAGGGATTATTCT